CCTCCCCTAGAGGAAAGGGCAGAAGTCGTGCAGAAGCAGGGAGCCTCGTTGTCACGAACTCAGACTCCAGGTTCCCCCTCCAGGTGGTCCTGAGCCAACGGCTGCCTACCTGCCTGAGACTCTGTCTCTTGTCCCGAGCAGTCATTCCTGGTGGAAGGATGACGTGAGTATGTGTCAGCGCTGCTGGGCATGTAGTGTGAGCTGCTTTTGTTGGGGGACAAGCTCCTTCACCTCTGCGTAGAACCCTGGCTTTGAGAAAGCAGGCAGTTAATACTGACCTCCTCACCCCCTCCAGGGTCCACAGATGGGCCCTGTATTCTGGAATCCACTCGTCACCAAGACTCCGCTCAGCCTTTCTACCTTCTGCGGTTGACCTCCCGAGAGAATGAACTGGGGAGACTTGTCTTGGGACCATCACCAGGTGCCCAGGACCCTTGGCTGCCTGGAGACTACCCCATTGCTGGATGCACAGAAAGCCCTTCTCAGGGGCCTGTAAGCGGCCCATTCTGTGCGCCATGTCCTTGAGTCCCTGTCCACTACTAGAGGACTGGGTCCCCTGGTGAGTGGTGGGGTCGTGGGTGAGTTTCCAGATGGTGGTGGCCACACCCGGCTCAAGGTAGAGCCTGCTGGTCCACATACCGCTGCCCAGGCCTCCCCGCCCAGGAGCTCACAGGCTCTGAACCACAGGCCGTTTACCGCTGCCTTCAGGGCTTTTCAGTGTGATCAACAGGATTTTTCATCAGTTCATGAGCACGTGCCAGTGGCTGCAGGGTGCAAGGCAGTGTCAGATTATCTAGTATTGAGGTAAGCATATGCTTCCTTGTGCTTGCTCACTAATCTGTTAGGAACCGTTTCACACCTTTCCACCACACCAAAGATCTTATTTCTAGGTACAGCTGGCATCTTTCTCTCTCCCCAGAACCCCACAGGGCCTTCAAGGCCTCTCTCCACATTGACCAGCCCTGACAAAGATGGGGGTACCCACGGGGTACCCATGGACGGACTTGTGCCCACACGCTCACCTGTAGTGAGTGAACACTTGTTTCACTTAGCACAGATGAGTCAGTGAGCCCCAGCCCA